TGAAAAATAATATTCACAAACCATTCTGAAGGTATTAGCATAGGGCTCTGGCTAACATGTAACATTTTGGGGAGGCCACAGGCTGAGTTGGAATTATAAAGGACCTACATGTCTTTCCAGAGCAGCAGTTAGAACAGCCATTCCGAGGCTGTAGGGTTTCGCTGAGGTTGACACCTTCATTACCAACCATATTTGTGTGTACAACAGACCAGCAAACAAACACAAATGAAGCAGAAGATAAATGACAGGGTAACAATGACATAAACTGCAGTTCTATAACCTCATTCATGACTGCTGTGCCCATCACCTAGATTTCATGTTTCCTCATCACCCAAGAATTAGCCTTCCTAGTTCAAGTTATACTACAATTAAAATTGGCAGATTTTTGACAACACCTAACCCAAGACAAAGAAGTAGAGTGGCCAACATAAGTGTTAAACATGAGTAGGCAAAAGACATATGTAAATTTAAACCACAATGAGATAGGAACAGATACTAGATACCATAAGAGGTGTTAAAACCAGAGGACTGACAACAAAGCAGATACTTCTTGACCTCTCACATATGCCTGACCAGAGTTCAAAACAGTACACTTGGCAAAACACTAACATTTTCTTCTTTCTTTCTTCTTCTTCTTCTTTTTTTTTTTGACCTCTAGTGCAAGAGACCAAATTCAGATCATGGAGTACAACTGTAACACAGAGCTAAACTGGGATCCTAGATTTTAAGGGTGAAGATGAACTCAGTAGTAAGTGAATATATGCTTTCATACCTAAGCATGTTTGTTGTCAAGTATCTTCCCAGGTCCTTGTTTGCAATGAGCAGATCCTCCTCCTCTGTGACAGGCAGGGAAGAGCCCAGGTACCCAGCTCATTAGATAGAAGAGCAAGAAGAAAAGCATTTCCAAGAGAAGGTCATACAGTTTACCTGTAAAATAAAGTTGTGTGTGTGTGTGTGTGTGTGTGTGTGTGTGTGTGTGTGTGTGTGTGGTGGGGGGTCAGGATACAAGGGGACACTACTCTGCGCTGGACTGACTGCATGTGTCTTCTAGCCTCCAGCCTCAGCTTCTCAGTCCATTTCTGCTGGACATCTGTAGCCTCTGATTTGATGATGTTATGTCTTGCTGTTGCTATACAATCTTTTTCTTAAAAGTTTTACCTATGGGACTGCCTATGCCAGTACTCTCATACTGGGAACTCCAGCTGGCTATATTAAAGGGATTTCCCTAGGCAATTTTGTTGGATGTTCTGAGGCTTCAATTTGATGATTTGTACTTATGTGTTCCTCCCCACTTTCTCTCTTTTTCACTTTTGTGTGCTAAACATATAATGAACTCACTCTTTCAAATCTAAAGTATGGCCAGCACATATCATTCTTTGGACATAAGGGAAAATGAGTAATGGAGAAGAGGAAGCCTGGCTATAGGGATTTGGGTACTTCCCCCAAACTGCTGACCTCACACTGCATCACAGCTGCCTAAGCTGGGGCCTGTGCATAGCACATGGTACCTACCACATGTGACTGAAGGTCCATGTGCAACAGTAAGGACCCTGACATCCAAAAATCTAAAGATGTCAAGATTAGGGGAGTCACCACCCTGAGAAAACAATCTTTAAAATATGTGACCTTGTGGCTTTCCAAGAACTTGACATGTGACTAAGAAAAGCTTGGGTCAGGTGGTGGTGCTACATGGCTTTAGTTCCAGCACTTGAGAGGCAGAGGCAGGTAGATCTCTGTGAGTTCAAGGCCAGCCTGGTCTACAGAGTGAGTTCTAGGAATGGCTCCAAAGTAAAAAAAAAAAAAAGCAAAGCAAAGCCAAGCCTGGACCTCAACCAGAGTTCACATATTGTTCATTTTCTTGTAAGGCTAAAGTGTTCCTCAAGGGGAGTTACCAATATAACTGCCATGGGCCTCATTATTGTTTACATTATCATCATGCAATCAGCAGAGCCCAGACAAATCTCTAAGCCCACATTTCTACCTGCTCTGAATGCGTCCTTACTGTGTTTCTGCTCCCAGGAAGGAGAGGTGTCTAATACAAGGATTTCCATTAAGAGGGTTTTATTAACATACTGCCAATTCCTTACAATATACTCAGTATGTGCCACTGGAAGATGCTAAAGACATTTCCACATTTGGATACTACCAAGATGCATGGAATAGTACTACATCATTCTCAAGTGTTTCTTAAACTTTAAAGAAATTATAGGTCGGAATCCCTTTGACACTTTTTCTTTCCTAAGCCCCAAATCTAAATGAAAATAATAAGTCTGTTGCATTCTGGTAAAGAAATGGTATGTGTTAGATGCACTAAGGGATGGTCTGACTTTTTTTTTTTTTTTTTTTTAAGCCAAATCAAAGTGGAGGGCATTCCAAGAGCACTCTAAATAAATAGAACATGATTTTAGAACTTAACATAGTATACTATTGGGGAAAGAATCCCACAGCTTTTCTCAGGTGCATAGCTCCAATGTCTTGACACACCTGGCAAATAGCTTCCCTAATACCAGGGGTGAGGCTGATCTAGATCTTGTTCTGTGATGAGAAAATAGGTGCTAAAGTCACTTCATCACTTGAGAATCATGATGCTTCCAGGACTCTGCCCTGGTATCCAGCAAGCTGGACCACATTACTGAATACTGCAGCAAACACACAGTCCCCTTCAGAAAACATCAACACACAGAAACAGAGTTAAAGTCAACTCGTATAAATCAGCCCTGAACTGAAGATTTATATCAGGAAGAAATGTACCTTTCAGAGGACTTCTGCTGAGAAGGGAATGTTTTCTCTTTACAAAGACTTGCTTATAACTGTTTCTCAAAGAATTCAGCTTGTTTGGTCCAGGGAGCACACTGCAGTCTACTGAAGCATGCAAACCCACTGCTCAGCACACTGTGGGAACACAAATACAATCCTGACCTTGCAAGTTCTGACTTTCGCTTTCCTCACACCTTTCTTTCCCTTATCTTTCTTCTTCGGGGCTTCCATTCTTTTTCTTTTATACATTCTACAATGTAGGAAAATTAAAACCACTGATTGCAAATATAAAGGGAGATAGGGAAAAAAAAATTCCTAAATAGGTTAAATGTCTAATCTTCTTTAATCCTCAGTGCAATGAAAGACCATTGTTTAAAGACCACTAGAGCCTAAACAAATAAAAGCAAATGGAAGTCAATGGAATCACTGAACGCCCCCCCCCCCACCCAGCAATTATTCAGGCTGTGGAAAAACCCAACTCTTTGCAATCACTAATTAATTATAGAAGATGACATTCTCCTTTACCATGGTTGAAATGTGACAAAGAAGTCAAGAGTTTTTCTTCAAACTGATTAACGCATGTTAAGAAAGAACTCAGACAAGAGTTGGGAGCTATTCCTGAGGGTATAATCACATCCTTACCAAACAGATTCAATGCAGGAGGAACAGAGGCTTCTATGCACAGGTGCCATTGGATACAGCAGTGCTCTGCTCAGAAAGCATCTGAGAAGGGGCCCACTCTTCATCAGTGGATGCTCGTCTTACAGACAGAGATGCCATGGTGCTTCATCTTTCTCTTTGCCTTCCCACAGCACAGACAGATGGCTAAATACCAACCCCGAACCACTCTTTTCCATAATCACAGTGAAAAGTACATGACTGGGTTTTCATTTTTAATTTGCAAATTGAATCTGATGTGAAAATACATGACACTGTTGAAAACCAAATATTTTAGTTTCTTAAAAAGTGATACACAATCCACCGACACGCAAAATCAGTAATGATGTAATTTGAGCCATTACTTTCTTCAAGTAAGAAGTAAACAAAAGTTTTTACACCCTCTGTGGAGGAGTCATATCAACAATTTCAAATTCTGACCCGAATTATAATATGCCTTGCTTATAGATGTACCTTTGTCTTCTCTGACCCCCAGTAGTGGAACAGCACCCTCAAGGGATTCTGACATCACCTTTTTCTCTGAACAGTGTCACTTAGTTTCCAGTAGGCCACTATGTATTAGGTGCAGAGTGATAGAGAAAGACACCAGAAATCAACCTTACATGTCATGTGCATACAGGTGAACATACACGCACATACATATGTACTCTGCATGTGTATGCATACCATCCCTCAAAAAAAAAAAAGGTGGTTTTGTGTTTGTTTTTGAAAAGGTTTAAACTACACAGCACAATTGCATGGCCACAGCCTTTCTAAACATCACCGTAGTTCCTTCATATATTGAGGCAGGGTCTCAACTCTTGGTCCCCCTGCTAAATGTGAAACTTGAAATCTTCGCTAGTCTGGCTAGTCTGCATCCCTTGGTGTCTGCTTCCCCGGTGCTTGGATTGCAGGAGGGCTAGCATGCACACCTCACTTTTAAATGGGTTTGAAGATCCAACATGTGGTTCTCACATTTACCCACAAAGCCCATGAAATGCTTTCCTTTTTATTAGGAGAGCTCAGTCACAGACCCAAAAGCCACTTAACCTTTTATTATTGAAGCCTTAGGAATATGATCATGGTAGCCCACTTAGATGTAAGGGCCATAGGTGAAGCTTGCCGATGCACATCACAGGTCCCACTTGGAAAGCACAGTGTACCTTTAAGAACTCGATACTTGCCTGGAGCACAATGATACAAGAGCAAGTTTCATGTAAGAGCAACGAGTTAGTGCTAATACATATCAGATATAGGACACTTTTTTCATTTTTTGCTCCAAGGTTGAGTATGAGAATGTCTGTAGGGACACTGACAATCTGATTTTTTCCTGAGATACTGTGTTCATTCAACTTTTGGGAAGGTAATCCTTCATTACTGCACAATTGGGGAAGTACTGGATGCAGAAGAATAACTGGTACTATACGAAAAGGACCACACTCACCTTTCTGCTACACTGTTTCTTTCTGGACTGGCATCTGCTGATAGGAAGAGCAGTGTGTGCATGCCTGTCTTATGTGCTGCTCCCTAGGGAAGGCAGATTAAGGCAGGCATTTCTCTTTTCTATTGCTGTGTTAGTTTCTTACCTTTGGCTGCAGTGGTGGTACACTGGGGGCTGTCACAGGGTCTGTGATATAGGTCTTCTTGGGACCACTGACTGGATATATCCCAGGAGGGTTCTGATTTCCGGCTCCAGGAGCAGCGTACCCAGGTTCCCGCTTCCAGGTATTTGGGTGAGCTTGCTGCCCATAAGAAGGCTCAGCTTCATTTCTTCCCCCATAGCCAGGCCCCCCAGCATAATAGGATTCATAATAGCGCCCTTGGTTGGGGGCATACCCATATCCAGGCTCAAGCTGATGTGCTGGGGGTGGATTGTATGCATAGTCGGTGCCAGCACGAGTAGAAGGAGGAGGACACTGTGTTGACAGAGGAACTTGCTGGGTGTTATAGCCATGATGTCCTGGACCATACATTTGTCCGATGGATGGGGCAGCCATGTAATGTGGGCTGGGCTGGGCTGACTTCACTTGCACATTGAAGGTGGGCCTTGAAGGTGTGGATGCTGTAGTGTAGGAGGCTGGAACTGGTTGAGGCTGTGGTTTGAGAGTTCCGATGGGAGCCACTGGTATGGGTGCAGCCTGGGGTGCAGGCTGTGGTTTCATCGCAGACTTCTTGGTTGCCGTGAGAGGGGGCTGGTTTGGAATGACCATTCTCTTATGCCCGGTGACAGGAGTAGAGACTGCAGGAGAGGCTGTTGCACTAGTGGAACCCTGAAAGAGAAGAGAAACATGATGAAGATGATCAGTAATAAAAGAAAATAATACACAAGAAGGCATTAGGGAGTGTGGCCAATTACTTTGTATTAAGGTGCATACAATAAGGCATGGTCCTTCCATTAAGGAGCTCACTGCTAATACGTGAGTCATTGTGTGCAGTCCCAGTGAACAAGTGAAAGGAAAACATAAAGGAGAAAATTCACTTTCAATAGCATCAAAAATAATAAGATGAGGAATAACCTTAACCAAGGCATGAAATATTTATTGACTGAAAATCAAAACAGTGAGTGAAATAATTACCCAAATAAATTGTTCAAAATTCAGGTCCAGAGTGATACTTATCAAAATGTGGAAACAGAACACTTATCTATTTCAAACTCAGACGGAAACAGAAAATACCACAGAAGTAGCCAAACCAGTCTTGGAAAGGAGGAGCAAACCTGGATTCATCACATTGCTGTTTTCAAAATATGTTGCAAATTAAAATGAAACAATATCACAACAACATAAAGAGAGACATAAAATGGAAGGAACAGGAAATGCAGTTTGGAAGTAAGTACATACAAAGTTCACTTATCTACCAAGTGCCAAGAACACACACTGGAGAAGGTACAGTGTGTTTTACAAATTGTGTGCAAATACTGGATTTCAACAAGCCAGAAAGTGATTTAGAGAATGAATGTACACCACTAACTCAAGATGCTTTGGAAGACGGGAATGTCCTAGGGAAGAACAGAGACATGAAGTTTAGGAGGACAGGCTTGACAATGATTTGAAGGATACAGCACCAGAAGCACAGACAACAGAAACAAAAAACCAGAGAAATGACATCATACTGAAAATCTCTACAGAGCGGAAGCAGCAGAGTGGAAGGCAAGCAGTGAATTGGAGCACATGATCATATGTCCAGTAAGGGACTGACCACCAATGTACCTAAGAAAGCCTCTGAGTGCAGAAGTAAACACAGACTAAGAGGGGCTCAAGAGAATACTCAGTGCCTAGGATCCATCACATGCCTGCTCACAACCATCCATAAGTCCAGGTCCAGGGGATCTGACATCCTCTTCTGGCATTCACTGATACCAGGAACACACATGGAATAAATGTATACATGCAGACAAATGCTCATAAAATAAACATAAAATAAAAACAATAAAACAGAACTTTTTAAAATATAAGCTTAGGATTTGAGAAGTACAACAAAAATACTTCTCTAAAAGGTATACAAAAGACCAAACATTAAACATTGATTAAATTACTAATAACGGAGAAATGTGAACAAAAATCCAAGTGAGGAGTCACATGTTTGTCACGATCCTTGTTATGAGGCAAAACAAAGATGCAAACTAGTTCTGGCAAGACTGGTGTGATTCGGCACACTGCTGCTGGGAAGGCAGAGTGACAGAGCTGAGGGAAAAGGCAGTAGGGAAATGTCTGAAAATATTAAAATGGAACAGACATATGACCTGGCAATGTCCCTTATTGGTACATACCCAGTATTACTGGAATGTGTATCTCAAAGAGCAACACTATTTCCAATAAGAAGAAAACTTAGACATCCATCAGTAGATGAAGGATAAAGAAAATGTCCATACAATGAAATATTATTTGTTCCTCAAAAAGTAAATTCTGCATCACATAAATCATCATGGATGAAGCTCAAAGGCATTAGAGCACGAAAAATGAGCTAGTTACATAAAGACAAGTATTGCATGATTTTACCCCATGCAATGCTGAAAAAAGTTACAAAAGCCAAGAACAGGTTGACAGTGGAGAAGGGCTGGTGTCTCAGTTATGGTTACTGTGGCTGTGATTTAAAAAAACAAGACCAAAAGCAAGTGGGGAGAAAAGGATTTGTTTGGCTAATGCTCCCACATCGCTGTGTATCGCCGAAAGAAGTCAGGACAGGAACTCAAGCAAGACAGAAAACTGAAAGTAGGAGCTGATGCTGATGCAGAGGCCATGAGAAAAGGCTGCTTACAGGCTTGTTCAGATAGCACCACCAACAATGTATGCTTCCTCCCCCATGAATCACCAAGAAAATGCCCTACACGTTTGCCAACAACACAATCTTATGGAGGCATTTTCCCCAGCTAAGACTCCCTCCCCTTAAATGATTCTATGATTCTGCATTGTGTCAAGCTGACATAAAACTAACCAACACAAGGTGTATGTGTGTGTGTGTGTGTGTAGGGGGGGTCCCAATCAATTGATTTGTTCTCAATCAAGCAAGATAAGCCGTTAAGGTCCACTGTTTACCAGTTCACTTACTATCATCAATAATGGATTGTGCAATGAGAGTTTTCTCAGAAGAGAAAGGAAAACATGAAGCTATCCTAACATGACCAAAGGGGAAGCAGATGTCTTGCTGCTAAGAGATAACAGATGAACCCCACACCTTTCTGTCTCATGTGCACAGTAACATTCCTTTGTGCCCCATGATGAAGAGTACTACTACCTCAGTCCCATAGTAGCACAGCAGAGCTTCATTAATATACACCAAAGAAGCTTGGCAAACGAATGGTAGAAAAACTAGCATATAAAAAGATCCAACTCCCAGAAAATCACACATACATGTGTGATATTTAGATGTGCTCGATTTTCAAGACGAAATGTTAAATTATGACGAAAATTCAACAATTCATACAAAATCAAAAATAAAATAAAATGTCAAAATATATTCTTGGAACTACCAAATAATCCAATAAACAGAAAATATTCGGCAACATGACTCTTCAATTAACTGATTGTGTGGAACAGATAAGCACTGGCACGGTTTTCTTTAACCACGAAGAACATAAATACATATAGTTAAAGTTAAAATAACGATTCCTGCTCTTTTTCCTTTCACATCCAATCAGATAAAATATGTAAAACTTTGGAGGAAAACTGTGTACACTAAAATATACTAGTTTTAAAGACACTTATGATAAAAATACCCAAACACGTGCTGGCATACACGCAGCAGAACACACAGCAGAGACAAGGGAACATGGAAAAGCATGCCTAGGAAATGTTTTTCTTTTTTGGTACTTAGCAAAGTAATGGATTTCATATGGCATTTTCATACATAGTCTTTTGGGGGGGTCTTCCTTCCCCTTCCCCCAGAATCCTTGTCTTTTCAACTCTGATGCCAAACACATGCTATTATTACCCTCTTCCCCCCTTTCTTCAACTCTCCTTGAGTCTCACTGTGTTCTCTTTCTAGCCGTGGGGCATACTTCCACATTCACACCTGCAAATACACAGCAAGGGTTTGCATTTAAGAGATCATGGGGTATTTCAGACATGCATCCAGTGGCTCTGAAGATGGGGCTCTGAAACTGTCACTCAAAGAATCAGGAGGAGACAGGGAGACAGGGACGGAGGGAGAAAGGGAGGAAAAGAGGGAGAGAAAGAGAGAGAGAGGAAGAGAGAGAGAGTGAGAGACTGTGCTAATCAAGAAAATTTGGGAAAAAGTGTTTCTAAGAAGTGAGAACTATATCATTTCACTGTTCTAATGCAATTGTGATTGCCATTAAGTTTTCAAATGGCTTTAAACTTCTGTCCTAAGGCTGAGTTTACAGCTGCAACAGAGAATGTGACTTCTATTGGGCTAGTTCCTCAGTCACTATATGCATTTATAGTTGAGTATGTAAGATGTTCAAAGTATGAACTCTATGTTTTTGCTGCAAAGGAATCATCAAATAAGTCAAAGGTGATCCCCACTGCAATCAGTTTCACCTCCCTAACATGTTAATGATTGACATTGTTGACTAGGAAAAAAGACTATATGAGTTTTCTAGGTTTAGTTTACTTTTCCACAGGGTCTGTTAAAAAATGTCAAGTTCTTAACTTGGTCCCTTTTTAATGAATGTTTTCAACACATATATTTTAATAATATACTGCTTAATTAACCCCCCACATGCATGCATTCACACATGTGGAGGCACCTACGCATGCTCACGCACAACCCCCCCCCCCCACATCTGTTTTGATCAGACATCATAAGGACTACCTTCACCTGAAGGGAATGGGGCCCTTTACCTATCTAGTAACATCCAAGATGCTTGGACTAGAAAAGTTTCCTTCTAGAAAGGACAGTAAAAATCAAACAAAATTTCTGTATTCATTAGAATCCTGTATCAATAACAGGGAAATAAATCAGGAACTTAAAATTAAACCTTAAGTCTTAGAATTGCAAGTTCCCCAGGAAACTCTATTGAAAAAAAATGATATGTTGGAAAGACAGCCTTAACAGTCAGCGTCCCCAAAACAGAACCAAAGAATACCAAGGATATGCTCCAGCTAGGCATTCTTGAAGAACTGATACAGCCAGGCATCATGGATAACTAACTCACTGTGCTGAGCCACTAGTGTCAGAAAAGTGGCCTGCAACCTGCATTGAGAAAGCCATCATCTTCTCTAGCCAGAGAAGACAAGTAGTGAGTGGCCAGGGGGTGTAGTTATTTAATCACGAATAAAAGGGAGAGCTAGAGGAGAAGAAAGAGACCCAGGCAGCATCCTTGACAGACGGTGAAAAGTTCAAAAGGTCGATGAGGTAGAGGAAAATTTGTGAGAGAAGAGCTATTGGCATCTCTCAAGGAGCATGACTATCACCTGTACTGATGTGTTAGCTTGTGGCACATTCAGTGTTGATAGTGGCTCTTAATAATCAAGTAACCAAAAAGTCTATATTAATTTCCAATCTCCCCCTAGTCAGTAAATGCGTCTGTCCCAGCTGAGAACCACTGGAAATGAGAGGGAATTCACTGTCCCACGGGAACGTTCTTATCTTCTATCTGTTGTCTAAGTGTACAGAAAGGTACATACTCTGAGGTATGTTCCTGAGCTTCATATCATTACAAATATTTTTCTAAATTTACATGGAATTAATAATAATGACATGCTGGTCAATGACCCCCCAACCCCCCATGTGACCTCTTCTCCCTACGTTCTCTCTTCAGGTCCATGCCTAGAGACTAAACACAATCAGTATCACTTAATTTGTATCC